GTCTATTTAACACTGTGTGCTACACCCAGGCAGTAGATTAAACACTGTGTGCCACACCCAGGCAGTATATTTAACACTGTGTGCCACACCCAGGCAGTAGATTAAACACTGTGTGCCACACCTAGGCAGTATATTTAACACTATGTGCCACACCCACTAAGTAGATTGAATACTGTATCACACCCATGCAGTCTATTTAACACTGTGTGCTACACCCAGGAAGTATATTTAACACTATGTGCCACACCCAGGCAGTAGATTAAACACTGTGTGCCACACCTCCTAGGCAGTAGATTAAACACTGTGTGCCACACCTAGGCAGTATATTTAACACTATGTGCCACACCCACTAAGTAGATTGAATACTGTATCACACCCATGCAGTCTATTTAACACTGTGTGCTACACCCAGGCAGTATATTTAACACTATGTGCCACACCCAGGCAGTAGATTAAACACTGTGTGCCACACCTAGGCAGTAGATTAAACACTGTGTGCCACACCTAGGCAGTATATTTAACACTATGTGCCACACCCACTAAGTAGATTGAATACTGTATCACACCCATGCAGTCTATTTAACACTGTGTGCCACACCCATGCAGTCTATTTAACACTGTGTGCCACACCCAGGCAGTATATTTAACACTATGTGCCACACCCACTAAGTAGATTGAATACTGTACCACACCCATGCAGTCTATTTAACACTGTGTGCCACACCTAGGCAGTAGATTAAACACTGTGTGCCACACCCAGGCAGTATATTTAACACTGTGTGCCACACCCAGGCAGTATATTTAACACTGTGTGCCACACCCAAGCAGTAGATTAAACACTGTGTGCCACACCCAGGCAGTATATTTAACACTGTGTGCCACACCCAGGCAGTATATTTAACACTGTGTGCCACACCCAGGCAGTATATTTAACACTGTGTGCCACACCCAGGCAGTATATTTAACACTGTGTGCCACCTCCAGGCAGTATATTTAACAGTGTGTCATACCCATGCAGTCTATTTAACACTGTGTGCCACACCCATGCAGTAGATTAAACACTGTGTGCCACACCTAGGCAGTATATTTAACACTATGTGCCACACCCACTAAGTAGATTGAATACTGTACCACACCCATGCAGTCTATTTAACACTGTGTGCCACACCCAGGCAGTAGATTAAACACTGTGTG